AGGAAGAAAAACAACTACCTCATTTTGCAAAGCTGAGCAATAAAGCAGAAGTAAAGCTAAACCTTCTGACCACAGGCTTTTCTGAAGATCTTTTATCAAGAACTTAAAAGTAGGGATGATGTTTATTGGCCAACATTAGCTGATTCTGTCTGCAGAATTTAATGCTAGAGGATTAGATCTAATACAATCTAATACTAGAAACAGGTAATTTTAGTAGTGCTAGTTCCTCTCTTCACTCTAAAGTATTTTTTTAGTCTGAAATAAAAATATTATCCTTTGAGCTGAATCTGCCCAGGTCAATTCCTAAAGGGCATGTCAAATAATGTAATCTTTTTTTTTTTTTTTGTGTGTGTGTGTGTGTGTGTGTGTGTACAATAAGCACATAAGAACAACATTCTCATGAAAATACTCTGAAGAGCTAATTATTGTTTTCCAGCACAACTCAAAGCCACCTTCTGTTTATGTTTTTTTTTTTTTTAATCCCAATTTAGCTTGAACTTGAATTTCAAACAGGAAGTCTGTCTTTGACACTGGAAAATCTCAAGCAAACACACTGAAATAATATATATTGTAAAATGTGTTAGTTTAAGTAATCTTTCCAATCCATGCACAGAAGAGACTTCTCAGAGAAAGTATGGAATTATGTGTTGCAACTTATAGCACAGATCAGCTATTTAGTTAAATTTCCAGATAAGTGACCCACATGCTCCAAGTGAAAGTGGGTCCTGGAGCATGCACAACTTGGAAATGATATTCCAGGCTGGAGCAAAGGGAATTACATGAGCAACTCAGCCAAGCAGGCAATTTCCAGTGCCAACAACACTGGAGATTAAAAAGCAGAGACAGTTTTGGAGTCATTATTTGATGAGTGCACTAAGGCAGGACACGTGGTTTTGTGTTAGTCCTGCAACACATTTGATTTATGTGCAGGTAGGGAATAAATAACCAAAACTAAAATCATGAAAAAGCTGAGGAGAAAGAGAAGCTGCTGTGCATAGTGAGCCTGACATATCTTATGATGTCATCTGGAAGAGATGCTCCAGCCCTCTGATCATTTTCTTGACCCTCCTCTGGACCAGTTTTAACAGGTCAATGCATTTAGAAACAATTCCCCCAAATCCTTTTTGGCTGTTCAAAGTGTTATCTGTTAAAATCTCCTGGGCATGTTGGAAAATCAGCATATGTTCAAGGTCATCCTTGTAATGTCATTAGCAAGTTTCCCTGGCTTCGTGGCCTTCTGTTCAGTCCTTCCATAATACAGATTTTGTACTTCATTTTTTCCTGATTCTCCAAAACTGGATTTTCAAATTCAAAAATACAGTAAGAGAACAAACTAGATTAAAAAAAAAAAAAAAAAAAACGAAAATATGAAGTATGAAAAGAGGAGAAAGGTCAATTAAGTAAAAAAAAGGGAGGGAAATGACCGGGTTGACAACGTTCATAGGCTTTGTAAACTGACTATTCTGCCTCTCTTCCCTTAATTTTCTAAGTTACCCTAAAAAAGTTTAGCAAAATAGAAATCTCACTTCATGATATTGCATGACTGGGCAATAAGAGGACAGATGAGACTGAACATAAATTTATGCAGAGTAATTCAAGTGCTGGAAAAAACACACCAACTGTAGATACAGTGATGGGTTCTGAGCAAGGAATTACCATACAGGAAAGAGTTGATAGAATTGTATTAGGAAATTTTATGACAATGCCATCTCATTGTTCAGTCACACAGTTAGAAATGAAAACAGAATAATCCACAACACCAGAAAGGAAAAGAGAGCTAGGAAATCTCATTTGCCGGGGAATAAATCTGTGGTGTTCTCAGATCATGTGCAGGTCTGGTCTCATCATTTCTGAAAGGATACAAAGAGGTACAAAGAGTGACACAGGTGACCAAAGGCATTTAAGGACTTCTGAACAGTCTTCAGCCTTAAAAATATCTTAAGGGCAGATATGGGACGAGCCTATAAATTCTTAAGCAGAACGAAGATGAAAATCACTTCCCTCTTCCAGTATTAGGAAATACCAAATGAAATGAGCAGGTGGCAGGTTCAAAATAAGCACAGTCCACCCCACCATCCCTGTCACACTGTGGAACTCTGTGTCTGCACTCAAAATTTGCACAGATCCAAAAGGCAATTTAAGAACTAAGAAATTAAAACCCTATGTATTTAACACAAAGTAATGCTGTGGCTGCAGGAGCCCTTGGAGTGCCTGGCAGAGAAAGTTGAGAAAATAAGCATATCCAGTTATCACCAGCATTTCATCTCTTCCACAGAGTTAAACCTGGCCCTGGTAAAACCCCAAGTCCCTCCCTGAGAAGGGGAGAGGGGGTTTAGCAGAAACAAAACATGAGAGGAAACAACTAATTACCAAAAAGAACGAATGGAAACGAAATCAAGCAGAGGGATTTAAGGGTCAGAAGAGCAAAAAATATGAAAGTGGGTGAGTGAAGGGCAGACAAAGCACCAGGACCATGAGCTGTGTCATCTGAGATGGTCCAGGCCTTCCTGTGTGCCCACAGAGAGTCAGAAAAAAGGAGAGAACATATTTCAGGGGATGACTCAGCAAGCCAACGTGCCTCTATTAGCACAACACTTGAGCATGTGCTTGGTGTAATCATAAGGTCCAGGGAAGTTAATGGTGTTAATGTAAGATAAATTTTCCATCAGACAGGCACAGGAAATTTTATGTAAAGCAGAAAGATAAAATCTGAACTCGCTGAAGGGCAAGTTGATCTGAAAAGATGAAACAGAGACAGACCAGAGGGGCACAGACCTAATAGGGCATGACAGAACAGAAAATTAAGAGGTAAGAATCAATGCTACACACAAAAACATGGAGCAAAAGCAGGAGCAGGGAATGTATCTCAGGCTTGAGAGGGAGATGAGATGAAGGGAAGCTGGACCATACAAATATTCTGGTGTTCATCCCAAGTTGTAATCTAATGACAGCAGAAGACAGAGAACAAAATAAGTGGAAAGGGAGCCCTGTGCCATGGACATGAAAGAATGGACAGGGAAGTCTGGCAGCAGCAGCAAGGACAACAGTGGAGGTCAAAGTCAATGCCAGATCTGTCTCTTATTTTCTCTAGAAACTAGTAAAATATTAAGACAAGGAGGAAGGAGAAGGTTGGGTAGGCTGAGGGAGCTGCAAAATAGTGGAAGGTACTGGAAGTAGCCCTCTAGAAAAACCTAAACTGTTGGGGACCAGTCCCTTTCACAACAAAATGGACAACCAGCAAAAACTTCTAAAATTCCTTCTCAAAAGGAACACTTTTAACCATTCTGCTGTTTACTATAGATTTTGTAAACACTCAAGATATTCAAGAGTTGAAAAATTGTCCATTTAAAATGAACAAAAATTTATTAAAAATTAAATTAGATCTTCCCTTTTTTCTTTTTTCTTTTTTTTTTTAAATTGCCAAGAAGCTAAAAAAATCTTTAACTCGCTACATTTCTGTATCTCAAAGATGCTCTTGCAAATATTTAGCTCAAACCACCAAGATCACCTTTTCCCAAGGGAAACTGGAAGCATGACTGAAAAGTCAGAAAATTAAGCCCTTTTTTGGGGGAATGAAAATGATGAAGAGACCATGCACAGAAACTGTGTGTAGCCCCCATCCTTGCCAGCAATATCCCCAAGCACTTCTCTTCCCACACCAGCAGATGAATAAAATGGATATTATTTAGAAGGATAACCATATGGTTTGTATAACTTGTACATGCTATTTTCAGGACATTATTATAAGACATGGTACAGACCTACACAACAGGGTCAAAACTTGCTTTCTGTTTTATAACCACCCTCCTCCTTTTGGGTGCAGAGACAAGAGGTGATGGCACTATATCAATATATCACTTCCACACACTGTTCCTACCTTAATACTCGCAGAATAATGCAATTATTCCGTGTGGGACACATTATTGGGTTGCTGAGCTCAAATAAATATTTATCAGCCCTGCTGATAATTATTTGCTAGTAAATATTTGTTTAAATTGTGAAGTCCTGACTTTTCTTTTTTTTTTTTTTTTATATATTCCATTTCAGCCTACATGCATCTGTCTGCTTTGTGCCTTCCCAGGGCGGAATGCTGTAATACGTACCAAAAAAAAAAAAAAAAGAGAGACAGGGAAAAAAATGCAAATACATCCACAGAAAACTTGAAATCTGTTCCCCTTAAACTGTGTCCTTTCTCTCTCCAACTCCTTCATTCCCTCTCACCCTTTTTTTTTTGTTAATGAAGTATCAGAAGCCACTTTTATTCTAAATTGAGGTACCCGCAGTGCTGCAGGAACAGCACCAGGCAGGGTTTTTATCTGGATACAGTGCCTGCTTTCCAATTTTCACTGTCATTTTTTTTTTTTAAAGCATAACACAAAACATTGCAGAAGCACATGTAAATCACCACTCTCTTGCCCAATGGAACAGAATTTCAGCTCCCAATGCCAAGGCTTGCCTACAGAAGGCATCTACATCTGGTCTGCTACATCCAAGGCAGCAACCACGGGCACACGGTTTGCTTTGTTTGGAATTCATCACTGTGGTGCAGCTGAGCCTCAGATTAAAAAAAAAAACAGCACAACTATGAGCCTCCAGGGTTAAACAGACAAATGTTTTCAGTCACAACAACTTTTTTTTTTTTTTTGGGGGGGGGGGATGGGGAAGAAGGAAAGCTATAACAATGTATGGAAGAGGTTTTATGTAAATCATTAAAGGCCTACTGACTTAAATTGTTGCTAACACCCAGAAGTTGCTTAATGTACACTTGGGAGTGTGAAGGCAGAACAGATGAATAGTCTCACAAATCCTATTTGCTCCGTTGGAAAAATGCAAAAATATTTGTGAAAAACAACGATTCCAGCTCGTTGCCATTCCAATTTAAAAGTCAAATTAATATTCATGATTTCTGAGTGCAAGGTGGTTTTTACTGGGAGGCAGAAGGGGCAGATACAATCAGTAAACAAATGTGCTTTCAGATGCTCACAGAATGCAGTACCTACCTAGCCACTCGTTGAATTTTTTTACTTCACTAGGAAGTCCCAGCTCAGTAAAATCACCAGCATGTATTAACACATCTCCATATGGCATTTGGATGGGATCAGTTCTTGAGTGAGTATCAGAAATACAGACAAATCGTGTATATCCTGGAGGTTTGGGAGCGTCGTGGGGCACCGGATCCACCCTGCAGGAAATGCATCATAACAAGGTTAGGAAGTATTTACGTACTTGGTGGTGGCTGCTTCGCTATCCCAACACTGGTTTTTCTACCTTTACAAAAGATTACACAGATCTCTGAATCTGCCTGATGGAAGGATTTATTAAAACAAACCTAACACTAACGGGAGGTGTAAAAATTCTTGATGTTCACAGCGCAGCATTTTCAGTGTTTTTTTGGTAGACAGATTAACTTCAAGAGATTAAGGAGAAGAGATTGGACTGTGGCAGTAACTCTGACACAAATACTTACAAATAAATCAAAGGCATTGCCAGTTTCAAAGGAATAGCACCATCCCATTTCATTGTTTAAACGTGATTACACGGTACACAGGGAAGAGATTTGTTTGAGATACATAAATACATTTAAATGTGTTTTTTCTAATTAGAACTTTTTCCCCCCCCCCCTGCAAGTTACATAATTCCAGCAAATTTAATTAACACATTTTGGAGATATGTTTGTGTTAATGCAAAACAACACGAGAACTCTCCCAACAGCTGTAAATGTACATTAAAGCCTCACTATTGTCAGGACAAATGTGGTGACTTTCTGGGTTTAATTATACTAAATGAAATCAAATGCTGTGAGGGGTGAGGCTGCATTGTTCAGAGCCCAAAATCAAGATTCAAAGCTGAGGGAACGAAAAGATCTGACCCAGTTTGATGAGACTTAGGAGAGGAAAGCAGAGAACACCTTATTTTCAAATCAATCTTTTTAACCTCAATCCATATTTTGTTGGACTACACAGAAGCAAATGTATCCATATACAGCTATACTGTATCTGCTATTCCAGTTAGGGAACTCTGGTGGAATAAAATCCAAAAGCCAGAGGTGCAAGAGTTATATTTCTGCCACTAGAAACCAGAGAGATATACAGAGTTGTTGTGAACTATTTTACTTTTGCAACATTTATTTTGAAAGGACAAATAAAATTAGTTTTGTTCACTGTTGCTGTATATAATACACATTTCTATCCCTTGCTGGTTGTGCTTCAATTTAGGAGCTTACTTTTACATAAACAAACTCAAAAAAAAAAAAAAGATATTTTTGCTATTAATAGTACTACATCTGTTCCTAAGTAAATTTTTTAAAAGTATTTTATTTCTTAAAAGTCATAAGATAATAATCTTTAATCACTCCATCTTTTCCCTATGTCAAAGAATTCTGTGAAATTTAGAGGCGTTTTTGACAACCACACGGGATTGGTGAGAGAGTGAGGAATAAATCTAAAACATTCAAATCTTGTTAAATACAAAAAAAAAAAGCTCTTAGCATCTTCTACGCTGTAACTACAAACCTAGAGCATGAACAAATTCTTTTGCACCCATACCTTTACAGGAAGAAGGAATGCTGAGGTTTTTTTACAGCAATACTGGAGAAACAGCCTTTTAGTGCCAGCACCTTGTAGTTGTCTTTCTGAAGTTCCAGTTTTTGAGCAGAAAAGTAATGAAACGTGAGGTGAGGAGCAAAACCAGCTGGGATCAAATCCTACCTAATGAATACCCAGATATGTCAGCAAGGACCTAGTGGGAACTGCAAAACTTGCCTGACAGAGAGTGTTTGGAACGTTTGGCCCCTGAAAACACTTGTTGTAGGGTTGAGGGAGTGTGTGTGCTGCAAGAGGACCACAGAGGCCAGGTGAAGAAAAAGAGTTTGATGGTAAAAATGCCTCTGTTCTGGAGAAGAACAGAAGAACAGAGCTGCCACAAGGGGTGGAGGGGGGAGGTAAGAGGGGTGCAAAGGAACACGGGTGGTGAATGGTGGGGTTTAGACTGGGCAGGCTTTGCCATAAGGTGTGAGCTGTGTGAAGGGTAATACATTCACTTCACACAATTCTGCCACAAAATGAACTGGGTAAAACCCACAGAATCACAGGATGTGCTGAGCTGGAAAGGACCCACAAGAATCACCAAGTCCCTGCACAGGACCATCTCCAAGAGTCAAAGGATGAGGAGCTGACCCTGCCTATCTTTGCAGCTGTTCAAGCTGAAAGGATTAAACACCAGCTCAGCAAACACAAATTACTGCTCTCCCTGCCCAAGACCTCCCAAAGTGAGTTACAGGTTGTAGTAAGCCAGCTCTAAATTATGCATATTACCCTGGCACGACATAAGGGTTGGTCTGGTCTAACACGTGGACTGGTTTAAAATATTACTTTTTGACCTTTCATGGCAGAGCAGCCTTCAAAGCAGGTACTGCTTCTCCTTCAGAATCCTTTCAGAGCTCAGCACAGCAGTAAGTTGGGTGTTAGGGAGTATCAGGCACCTCACATGTGAAGCTGAATGTTAAAAACAACAGACATCCCATGGAAATCCCATGCAGCACATAATGCACGTGCTTTTTTCCTACAGTTTGGATGGGCATGGGGAAGATGTGGACAGCAGAGGTTATGTGCAACTTTTAAATTCTGTGCAATAGGCCAGAGAATTTTCATGGGAAAACAACATCAATGCAAAAAAAAAAAAAAAGGCAAATAAATGAGATGCAGGTTTTTCATCTTGAAGTGATATGCACACACTGAGACCGTATATAGGTAAAAACATATGTCAAGTTTCACAAACACATCTAAGTTGTATTACTGGAAATAATTTCTGAAGGCTCAATCCCCATATTCTCGTGTAACATGTTCCCACAGCAGCTGTCACACCAACACCCAATGCACAGCTTGCAGCGTGAGCAGAGGAATACAGATCTGCTGATTATTTTTTGTGCAAATGCTTTTGTTTTTTCTTTAAATCAGCACGAAAATTGAAAAGCTGAGCTGAAAAATCTCAGAGCAAAAAAAAACATTTCCAGAGGTTGGTTTGTACACCGGATTTCAGTGGTTTCACAAAGGGGCAAGGCAAGGACTTTCCAGAGATGACTGATGGGCTTGAAAACACTGGCAGAATTTACCACCCTTCTCGTCAGTGGCAACCCAGCCATCTCATAAGCACAGGGATGTCAGATTATGACAGGTCTAGAAAAGTCCTGAAGGAGCTAACACGTCAAAGGAGAAATATCAAACTTCACAGAGGACCAAGGAAGATCTGCAGGACTGAATGCAGAAGAAAAGGGGGACCCCCGTGGTTAAAACAGTTTACTGTGGGCTCAGATGTTAACAGGTCTGTGTGAAATCTCTTTGTGGTTGCCTACAACATCACTAATGTAGGTGTTTGGAACTATGCACAAAGCCTGCACCTCCCTGAAGTTAAGGACAAAACCTGAGTTCACGGAAACAGGGCTTTCACCCACGACAATCATGGGAATAAAAGGTGCTTTTGTTACCCTTTTTATGTCTCCTTCTCCCTTCTTTGTTACTATTCTATTCATTGGTAGGAGGCAAAGGCAATCCTGCTGGTATTCAAGAAACATTATTTACAATTTCTGTATGAGGAGGAAGAGTAGGTCAGATTGTGGTACATGTTCCAATTGATTTGGCCTGTTTTTCTATTTGCACAAGCTTCTCCAATAGTATTAATCACTCATGAGAGATTGCTAAACTCTTCTGAGGAACCATTTTCTAAGGACAGCTTATTTTCAACTATTTGCTCAGGTGCTGAATTTCTATCATGTAGTTGATTGTCCAAGCCCTCCAGTACCATAATTTCTTAGTGGTTAGAAGTTTAAACAGCATATTGTTGAGTACCAAGTGGATACAAATAAATAACTTGCTTACAGCCCAGTAAAAAACATTCGGCTTTTAAGACCAGGAAACAAATTTCTGAGTGCCCAGGAGCTGTCTGACTATTCACAGAAAACAGCTAAGCCTCATCAAATCAACCTGCATCTGGCATTTTCATTTGTAAAAGTATTTCTGAACCTACATTTGTTTGTTTGTACTTTTGCTACCATTTGCCAGCTCTACAAACTAAAGATGTTTTTATGTAGCTGTAATATAACTAACCAGTGCTAACATTCAACCCACTTTACTCTTTGCATTTCAGTGGGATCTAAAAAACCCCATCACAGACCATAATACACTGCCCCCAAAAACTGAGTGTTTGCTCACCATCCTGATACACACGTTAGTCTTCAGATTCTTTTTACATAATCTAATTTATACCAAATAACGTTCATAAGCATTCACTAAAGTGACACATAGCATTCAGTGCTTAGTTTTTTAGCTGCAGAAATCATAACCTGTTTTGTAAATTATTAAATCATATTAAACACCAAAAATGTGAACAAGATGATTATTTGTTCAGTCTTCCTAAAGGAAAGGAGTTCTCTTTAAAAACCAAAAAAACAGCCTTCTGCTCTAAAGATAAGGCTGCTTCTCTCTTTAATAAACACAATAAAATGGTGCAGACATTTTTATTCCCTATAAAAATATTTTACAGTAGAATTTTATACTTAATTTATTTGTAATAGCTTTTACTGTTTTGCTCTTCCTTCTGGCTCTAAACTTTATGGCAGGTTTCATTTTGTAATTATAATTCTCCACTTTACGTTACAAGTAAATCATCTAGAGCAGTTAATTTCACTGATGTTGTCATTATATAAGAAGTCAGAAACAAACACAGTATTTTAATCACTCTTTAAGCACTTGGCATTTTCGGCACATCGGAATGAGAGTAAGTTGTCGGATGGGTGCCCACACTATTTTATTTATTGAGATGATTTTTCCCTCGTATGTAGCTGTAATATAACCAACCCAACAGTATGTGTTGGACAGACAGGGGTTGGGGTAGTTCCAACAGCTCTGTGCATCAATATGCAACTGCACAGAGCAAACAAACATTATTAAGATCGCAGAAAGTATCACCCTTGTAGCATCTCGTGTTTTATTGCCACTGCTCGCCGTTCATTTCTCTTTTTAACACCTAAGCATAACGTATTACACTAGTGGAGCAATCTTTCTCCCCTCCTTTAACAAAGTGCCTTGCAGATGGGCTGGTTTTGTATCGTTACAGTAATTATTGTTAGAAAGGCAGCAGTTCCTCGAATTCCTCCTGACTGGTCCAACACAGCAGTAACCCCCAGGGAGGCCGGGCTGGAGCAGGGACAGAACTGTAATACTCACATCTGCACGTGTGGGGGCTGGAAACGCCCCTGGTTGATGTTGTAGAAGGTGAAAGCCTGCGTGGGGTTGGAGCTGTACTCGTCCACCTCGATGATGAGCCTGCTGTGCTGGTGCCTGCGGGCTGCCATGATGTGCGACTGCGCGAAGGCCATGCTTGCGGCGCGGGGCTCGGCCTCCTCAGGGGATCATGTCTGCTATCTCCCTGCGTCCATGGGAGAGCACCAGCACATCTCACCTCAGCAGCACAGCCCCCTCGGAAACACCTGAAAGCAGAAGGGAGAGATGGAGAGTGACTGCTGGGCTGCCTGGGATTCGCTTTGTTTAACACGACAAAGGTGGAGACACAGAAGGACAAAGACTCCTCCAAGGACTCATCACAGACCTTTCCAACCCAGCTACTGGAGGAACATGCTTTAGTTGGGGAGCATGGACTGAAAGTAAACTTGCTAAAGAACTTGCTCAAATACTTCAGACATTTAATACAAACCTAAAAGACAAGACAGGCATTCAGAAAGGCGCATCAGGTGTTTCTCCAACACGACCACTGACTTATTTATTGCACTGATGAATGTTTGTTCCCCATCCTCCCTCAAAAAAACCCCACAGAACCTGAAAGTGACTGTGCACAACAAAAGCGCAAGTTAATTAAACAAGAACCAGCTCAACCCTGAGATTAGCTCAGTGCTGATGTTGCCAAAGTGTGAGTTCAATCCCTGGGGGGGACATTCACTAAAGAGCTGGACTTTAAATCGCTTCCAACTCAGAATATCCTGTGATTTTGTCATTCTGTGAACCAAATCTTCCCAAAGTCTGTGACATTTATTGCAGGGAATCATTGCAAGTGGTTGTTCTTTACACCAAAAAAACAGAATAAATGGCCTTCTCTGCACTTGCTCCTGGTTTTACAGTGTCACTGAGGGAACTCCTGGCACAAGTATGAAAGCCTCCCCCCTTCAAACACTTTTCAGTCAGCACTAGCCCAGCGTTCTGGGTGCACTGGAAAACAAAGTGATTCCAAGGCTAACACACAGTTAAATGTTACTAAATATTAAAAATGTAAAATCCATACAGGTTTTATGTTTGGGAATAAATTTTTCCCTGAGGGTTATGCGAGTCTAGAACAGCAGCACTGAAAACGGGTAGAGAAAGAGCCAAGTGAAACCAACTGGAATGCAAAGAGTATCCCCTAGAAACAGCAGAAAGTAATTTGAATGTGAATTTTACTTTTATTTCCCAGCTTTAATAAAAAATGGATTATAAGCTATAAAGGTGGGTATTTTTATAGTATAATTTTACATCCTTTTTAAAAGTTGTCTGACTTAAATATTTGCTTTCATGCAAGCAAGGGCTCTTTTCTTCTAGGGAATACAAGCAATCTGCTTCAGAAGATGTATTTCATAAAAAGCCACGCTAGAATGCAGCAATTCACTTAATCTGTGCAGTTTCTGGAAAGCAGGACTGGAAGTATTTTCTGTGACCTTGCTGATGTGCCTCCCTTCCATTCTGAGGGGACCACTGCCAAGAGTGATGGATGAGGGAGGCCTTCATAGCCACTCCAAGTTTTAAAGCTATTTACAGGTACTTAGGTCCAATTCAGTTTTTAGTGGCAGTCAAGCACCTAAACATCTTTATAAAAGTGGGCTTCGGTCCTCTGCTTAGCTACTACAGAGGCTGAGTGCTCCAAGAAGTGGTGGCGTGTTTTTGTTTGGGGAAATCTTGTTCCCGGGGAGCTGAAATGAGAGATTCCGCCTGGTTTTGTTACCGGCTGAATGGCTGTAAAATGATGACAACTTGCTGTCACTAACAAGCCGCAGGAAAACAGCCTGAGAATAAAGGAGCAGATTCCTTCATGCCCTCCCCCAGAATCGAGGGGTAAGGAAACGCTGGAATAACAACGGGGAAGATTTGGGATTTCAAACACAAGAAGCACCACAAAGGAATGTGCCAGAGAAGGGGGAGGGAAGGGAGGCACAATCCTGGTAAGAATACTCAAGTACAAATTGCTGCATTTAGGAAATAAGAAATTATGACAGCAGATGTGAAGAACCCTCCCCAAGGAGCTTCCTGTATTAAATGATGCACTCGCAAAGAAGTTTGAATAGGCAAGGTCAGAGATTTTAGGGGGGGCAAACTGTTCTAAGTGAACCTACTTCTGGTTTGAAGGAAACTATCAGAAACTGGTGACCTCTAGAAATATTCTCCAGTAAGATAAATAATTTATGATTCCACAGCTCTACATAAGGGGTTTGAACTACCTGCAAAACAGAGCCTTTCTTTTGTAATTCAGGGATTATGCCCACTTTACACAGGACTGAACTGTGGTTACAAAGGTCCTGAGGGACCTTTGGCCTTAGGAAGTTCTCAGGAGCTCACAGCAGCTGAGAAAGGAGCTGAACAGAAGTTCACCCTATATACATGAAAGAAATGGGAAGACAACATATTCCACCTGAGGTAAGAAAAAAAAAGGGGGGAAAGATGAAAAAAAGGTATGTGATAGGACAGGTAAGCCTTCTACTCGATGACAGTCACCCAACCCTGGACATATAAAAAGCTTAAAGACTGGGGAAAGGAAAGGAAGGTTTGGGAAGGGAAGGTTTGGAAAGGTTTGGGAAGGTTTGGGATGGGAAAGGAAGGGAAGGGAAGGGAAGGGGATAGATCCTGCAATAAAAATAAGTAGCAATCACACAAATATCCTGTGCTAAGCAGAAATCAGATATGTGACACACAGACTCAGTAAGCAGAACCCAGTAGCTTAATTCAAGCTCATTTCAGAAACACACACAGATGTCTTTGAACCTTACCTTTCAGTCTCTGGTTTTCCTCCTGCATAAGTGCTTGGCTGACTACTGACACTCTTGGTGTGACAGAACAAGCTGTCTCTTTGCAGCTTGACTGATAACCAGACTGACACCCATTACTCCCCTCTTTCTGCTTCCATTTCCAGTAGTCCCCCAAACCGGAACTTTTCCTTTCCTTTAATATTCTGAAATTTATTCCTTTCCCAAACCAGGGTATAAAATGCAGCAGGGAAATAATTATCTGCTTCTACAGCATGCAAGTTTTAAAATTATATGCCCAGCATTACCAACACAGAGAGCTAAGACTCAAATCCCCACAGCAACAACATGCTAACCATCCTCTTCCCCCAGACTTATGGAGCTGCGGGATGTCTGCCAGGGAAAAACAGAGGAATGTAAAAAGGACTGCAAGAACATGAATACTAAAATAAATATCACAAACCTGGCTGTTAGAATCACAGACTGAGAAAAAGCTATTAAATCAGCTAAGCCATCTTCTTACTGATGGCAGGAATGTTCTCCATACATTATTTTTCTGCTGCTTTCTCCAGCACGTGCTCAGAGGGGCCCCAAAGCCCACTGTGTGCAAAGGACACTGCTCCACAGCCTTCAGGGGGCTTCACATCAGGCCAGAAAAATATGGGCATTGAAACACCTCTCCTGAAGAATTACTGGACTAGGAAGGTGCTTGAACCCACACATATTTAATTCCTTTGATGAGGTCCTCCAGTAAATCTTTGTAGTAAGATTTTTTTCTACTTTTCCAGCCTGAAATTTCTGGTACTGTATTTCACACTGTTCTTGTATAGCTAGCATAAATATTTCCCCCTTTTACATGAATTTTCCAGCCTTTTTATGCATCCTATTTATCTTTTTTTGCTTTGTGCATTTCAAGACAATGTTTTATTTTAATCTCACTCCTCCACTCACAGATTTTGCTTTATTTTAGGTTCTTCCCTCAGTTCAGTCCCATGTCCACTGACTCTCACTATATCTCATTCCATTGTCCCCACTGTTCTCTTCATCATCTACCCTTTGTCTCAAGCCTAAAAACACCACTGAGGCTTCCTGAAAACAATTCCAGCAACACACAGGATGAATCTAGACTTGAAAACAACATTGCTCAGGCAGATGCCGCTGAAATAATAATTAGAAACCAAGATAAAATATTGATGACAATCATTATAATAATAAAAAAAAAGTCATAAGTTAAGAGAGAAAACTATAAAGGCACTTTGGTACATTACAGAACATCTGGAGGTCAAGAAGAACAGCATGACTGTAGCACATCCCAGCAAGAGCTGAAGAGGGGCACTTGCCAGATTTTGCACTAACAGTGAGACAGCACAAAGAAAGAAGACAACTCTGGGACTCTCAGCAGTACCAAGATCAGTGGCAAAGTGGTAACTCCAGAAAGTGTTAGTTTTGCTCACACAGTCTGACAAGCTGGGGTTTATGGAGGCAATGAAGAAACAAAATGTAGTATCAAAAAAAAGTGGAAAAAAAGGTATTTTCATGCAGCTATAAAACATCAAAGCCATGTTTTTTGGTTTTTGTTTGTTTTTTTTTCAGGGAAAGCAACTAAGACAAGAGCAGTAAAATACCTTAAAGAGGAGCCTGAGAGTTTCTGATGGACCACATGCTTCTTGTGCAAATCACTGTTAACCAGAAACCCTTCCAAGAGCTTTAACAATGGTTCAGATATTCCCTATACTACAGTGCTCTTCATAAACTGTCAGATCATCCTTTACACCAGGAAATAGAGCCTTTATTTAAACCCAAAAAAATGCACTACAGAGTATTCTGCAGCAATGGTCCTAATTGTCATAGTAACATTTCTATAACCACCAGTGATTGACTTCAGCATCACAAATTACTATTTTTGTTTTAACCCCCAGAAGACTGACCATGAGTTAAGTGAACCTGCTGAAAATAGTAAAGCAATCACTAGTAAAGCAATCACTCACTATGAAAAATAGGCTGAAAATACTAAGGGTTTTTGCTGTCTAAAATACCCATTTTAGATACCTCAGATAGAGGCCAATCAATGGAATTAGTCTGCTATCTTCAGTTCTGCCACTGGGAAATGAATGCTGAAATAATCCTAAAAAGGCATTATTCTCTGGGAAAGGATGAGCCAGGCAAATCACTCTGCAGATGAAAGCCTTTCCAAAGGGATAGATACACTCTCCTCTCTCTCCTCCTCTTCATTTTCTGAAACAGAAAACAAGTCCTGGGAAACCAAAACCACTGAGTTTCCCCTTGGCAGACTGGTCTGCTCACTTGACAAGTGAGGACTTTAAAGTGAGGGCAGCACAATCAAATGTCATCGAGACTCTTGTGGACTTTAAGTTTGATCATGCACACTTCTCCTGATGGAATCATTAGGCTTTCTAAATAAACATGGCTTCTTTTAGATAGAAACATTCCCCCTTGCTTTTAAAAAAATAAACAAATAAAACTAA